ATGTCTGTGGGTGATAGGGTGGCAATTCCCAGCTGCCAGGAAAGGGAACATTACTGATTAACTGGTGCTGGGCAATTGGTTAGCTATTTAGAAAATTAAATAAATTCAGATCTTCACATGACACTCAGTGCCAAAATAAATTACAAAGGATTAAAGAGTTAAACATAAAAAGCAAAGCCATAAAAATCTGGAAGAAAACAAAGGCAAATATTTACCAGCTCCTATAACAAGGTGGAAAAAAGTTCAAGAGGATAAAAAACATAAAAGTAAAGATTTTTTTTAAAAAAAAGAATACATGTGACTAGCTGGGAACCGAATGACTAGAATACAAAAAGAAAATCCACACAGCACACACCGGAACTTGACAGGTGAGTAGAAGCTGAAACCTTACAAACCACCTCAAAATGCAAGCCAGTAAAAGAGTTCCATAAATATTTTTAAAAGATCTTTAACCATGTGTTATGTATGTGTGTGTCTGTGAGTGGGTATGTACATGTGAGTGCAGGTACCTGCCAAGGTGAGAAGAGGGTGTAGAATCCCTGGAGCTGGAGTTCCAGGTGGTTGTGAGCCGCCTGATGTGGTGCTGAGAACCGAAGTCCAGTCCTCTGACAGAGCAGTCAGTGCACTTAAGTGCTGTGTGTTCTCCCCAGCCCCTTCATTTGTTTTTTGAAGCACATTAAGTTACACAGGCCTGAACTGAAATCACGTGATAACAGATAAGGCACTGCAGTTTGTACTATTTTACCAGAAACCTCCTGGTGACATACAAGTGTCTAAGAGAGCCATTTCAGAGCTGTCACTCACGCACGATCGATCTGACTTCTTCTGGATCCTGAATCAGAAGCCAGGTGTTGCTGAGAGGACGGCTGGCTCTACTAGTTGCTCCTCCATGGTTTCCCCATGGTGCTCAGGCACCGTTCTTGCTGTTCCTACTACCCTTCCAGCAGGAAGCATGGAACACGCTTCTCTTTCCTCTTCCAGTCTTTTTCTCCATCTCTCTCTGTCTCTGTCTTTCTCTGACTTTGTCTCTCTGTCTCTGTCTCTCTGCGTCTCTCTGTTTCTCTCTGTCTTTCTCTGTCTCTTTCTCTTTCTCTCTGTCTCTATCTCTCTTTCTGTCTCTCTTTGCATCCCTGTCTCTCACCTTTTTTCTGTGTCTCTCTTACATACATATCCGTCCCATGAATAGGCCACATCTGGCACCACCTCATTTAGACAGATGTTGATAATCAGATGCTAGATGACCATCATCCTGTCTCTTACTGCTGCCTGGCACATGCCCTGAATCTCTGTACCCTTTTCTGGTTTCAGCCTCAGAATCCCCTGGATGTCGCCTCTGTCATTTTTCAAGCTCACTGAAGGGTTGGTGTCAAATAGACCAAGGTTGTAACTCTAATCTGTTAATAATTTGGTGGAATGTCCGGGACAGCCACACCCCCTCTCAGAGCTTCAGAACCATTACATGGAAAGTTAACCAGTTGGTCAGAACCATCCCACGGTACACCATCCTGCTGAAGAGGAAATCCTTCAGGTGAGAGCAGACATTGGGTCTCTTACAGCTGACCAAGAGACCCACACAGGTACATGTGCAAAGATTCCATCACACAGATGTTTATGATACAGGGACAGGTAGACAATTCAGCAGTAAACCGTAGGATACACTTAGAAAAGGCTGTGTATCTCTCAAGGACATAATGTTTAGGAAGTAAAAAACAAGCCCAAACCAATTTCCCCTAGGTAAACTATCTGACCAGCAATCCCAGTGCTGGGAAGGTGAAGACAGGAGGATCCCTAGGCTCAGTGGTCAGCCAAGCCAGCCAAATTAATGAGCTCCAGGTCAAGTGAGAGACCTTGTCTCAAAAGTAGATGGAGACAGCAATTGAGGAAGGCACCCAAGTGAGTCTCTGGTCTCCATCCGTTTACACCCAGGGTCTCATGTATCCCAGACTGATGTCAAACTAGCTGTGTAACTAGAATGACTTGAATTTTTGATCCTTATGCTAGGATTCTAAGCGTGTACCACCACACTCAGTTTACACAGTGCTGGGGACAGAACCAGAGCTTTGTGCATCCTAGGTAAGCAGTCAAAGCAATTGAGCTGCATGGGCCCCTCAAAGGACCAGCCTTGCTCATGAGTCAATGTTCCTTTAAAAGCAGCTTGCACAAGAACACCAAAGTGATTCCAGGAGTCAAGGGGAAAGAGGGAGAGAAAAGAGGAAAGGGTTGTTCACAGAGTAGGTGGAACAGTGGGAAAGCCAAACTGCTGAAGAAAACAGTCGGCTCATGTATACCAGAAGCAGAGGCCGATGGCACTAGCATCCCAATGTGTATTTTATGTCACACTGCTGCTTTCTAAAAAGACTTAATCATTCCACCTGTGTGTGCCAGTTCCCCACTGTCCTGCCAGCACCCAATGCTCCTGTTCACAGATTGGTTTTGCTGGTTTGGTAGACAGGAAGCCAGTTCTTTCTCTGGCTTGACCCCATTCTGAAAGCTTTTACTAAGCAACCTCTAGGTCTCAGATACCTGATTAGTCACAGGAAGTCCCAAGGCAATTCAGAGAGTCCTCACAGGCTTGCCAAGGAGGTAAAGGGATCCACTGTATGAGGCTGGGAGCTCAGGCAGAGATGGCCTAAGCCAGGCCTTGCTGGCTGACTCTCCCACAAAGCTGAAGGCTGCAAGGCTTGGGAGAGCTGCCATTAGCACTTGCCAGACCCATAAGCTTTGACTAGCTCCAGATTCCAGCTCACCCAGATGAGGCCAGATAGCACCCTCTGGATGAGAAGCTAGGCCTACCCCAAGCTCACTCCCCAGTTCTAGAGAAGGACCCACAGCTGGGGATGGGGTGCAGATAGCTCCAAATGAGAGCTGGGAAACTGCAAATCTCTTCTTATCCCAGCAACTGCTAGGTGGGCTTGGAAAAGCCCCCTCACTCTCTGGACTTACCTCCTAAAGAGGTGACCGGAGGCTGGGGGTGATTGGGTATCCTGGTCCTCTCATGTATATTGCCATGCATGTTGCTCTGTGCTCTCAGCTTTAGGGAAAAGAAGTTTTGTCTTTAAGCACCTTGCACTGGCAAGCTACAACTCAGATAGTCCTCGATTTAAAGTAGTAGGCTGTCCATGTGTTTTGTTTGTTTTTCAGTATTGAACCCAGGACCTCCTACATACTAGACTAGTGCTCTGCCACTGAGCTCTGTCCCTAGCCCCCTCCTCCCGCACGCGCACCTGTATGTATATGTTTGTGTGTTTAGGTGTGGAGGTCAGAGGTCAATGTCAACTGTCTTTGTCTATAACTCTCCATTCATATTTTTTGAGACAGGGTCTCTCACGGAGACTGGAGCTCATCAAAATTGACTATACTGGCTGACCATGAGCTCTAGGGATCTGCCTATCTCTGCCCTTAGGTGCTGGAGTTACCAAGCACCATCAAGCCCATCTTTGACATGGGTGACAGGGATTCAAACCCTGGTCCTCATCCTTGTACGGCAAGCAGTTTTCCCAAGGAAACATCTCTCTAGCCAGCTCCTCACCCACCTTCTTTTTTGCTTTTTATTTTGAGACAGGGTCTTGTTAAATTTCCCATGCTGGCTTTAAATACCATTGTAGCCCAGGTAGATTTTGAATATTCAATCCTCCTGTCTCAGCCTCCTGTGACTCTAGGATGATAGGCCAGTACCACCAAGATGGACAGACTGTCCACATCTTTATCCCTAAACCTAGGGAGATGGGTTGTAGGAGAAAAGATGTCTGAAAGGGTGATTCTAAGAAACATTGCTTGGGAAGAAGGACAGAACTGCAGATCAAAAGGCCCGGTGTTTGCTGCTGGCTGCTGCATGCAGCTGCTCACTCCTGCAGGAGGATTCTTGGGACTGTTATCTTTAGGCCACTGCAGCCCCACCAGACGGCCATTCCTATCTGTATCTTACAGATAAGGAAACAGAAGCACAGAGATTAACTTGCGGGTCCAGGGCCCCACAGGCAGAAAGTGGCAGGAACCTGGCAAACACTCCCCCATCTGTCCTCAAAGGCTGCGCCCTTTTCTATGCAGAGACCAGGCCTGGTGCTGAGCAGGCAGAATCTGGCCTACAGTATGTGCTGTTTGGCCTGAATGAGGATTTTAAAATTTGAAGATTTTTACAGAAATTCCGGGGGGGGGGTGTGAAAAATCTGGCAACACAGAGTTCTCATCTCCCTGCACAGCAGGAGTGAGCCGGAGCCTTGTGGAAGCTGGGACTTTTACACAAGATGGGTCAACTGTCCCATTTCAAGTTTGTGACCAGCCCACCTGGCTCTTGTCTGTTACTATCTCCTAAACCCCGGAGACTATGTCTGCCTGTGGCCCTAGGTTTGGGGGACTAGTCCTACCCTGTGTCCAATCATGAGACAGCTGAGAATAAAAGCATTCAAGGTCTCTGGTTCCATGGAGGCCCTGCATGCTCTCTCCATCCTTTCTCCCCTCCCACTTCTCTTTCCCTCCTTTCCTCCCATGTCCCCTTTCCCTCCTTCTCCTTCATCTTCCTCCTCCCAAGTTTCAGTTCAGCTCCTGGCGTATACATGCTAAACCCTGGTCTCCCTGCAACACACACACACGCACACATGCGCGCGTGCATACAAACAAGACCTGCAGCGTGCTCCATGAGGACAGGAACACGTCGTCTGTCAGCAGTATCATAAGAACACACTGTCTCAGGGTCCAGGCAGAGGCCAGACAGGCTGGGAAGGGAATACAGGGATGGAGGGACTCTACCTCTACCCTGTTGCCTTATTGAACTCTCACCCCCTGTACCAAGCTTACCTCCAGTTCTGGGGCTACGATGTATCAGGTATGATGTATGAGGTGTGTGGAGGCCCTGCAGCACCAGCCAAGTGCCTGGGCTAGTAATCTCTTCCTATTCACACCAAGGAGGCCTGGAATTTATTAACTTGGAGAGCTCAAGGGAACTGTGAGCTGCCAGTAAACCAGCTGAGGCTCCTAGAGTGAGCTGCTGCAGAGGCCAGGCAGATGCCCGCCAGGAGTCTTCAGTCCTTGGTGGCTGGTTATCGGAGACCCACAGGCCTGATTGCAGGAAAGCATAGAGGAACAAAGCCACTCTCCTCCAACCACCAGACTCTCCAGTGATTCCTATGTGACCTGCCTGCCAATCAGCCCAGAGTGCTGCCATTGACCCAATCTGTGGGTTCTCTACAGGGCCAACAGCTGTGATGACCAAGCCCCATTTTAATACAGGTACGTTTTCAAATCTCTGGGAAGGGAAATTTGGGGGTGAAAGGTCTTCAAAAAAATAGAAGAAGTCCTGGGAGTTCTAAGGCCTGGGACTGTATGGGAATCACCTGTGGAGTATCACAGAGGCACAAATCCCTGATCTGAGTCCTTAGGGAGCCAGCTAAACAGGCAGCCTGGAACTTCTTGTAGGCATGGGTGGAGGGCAGCATGACTTTGCCTAGTAAAATTTATAGAATGAAGTGTGTGTGTGTGTGTGTGTGTGTGTGTGTCTGTGTGTACGCTCAATCACTCTCTACCTTATGTTTTGAGACAAGGTCTCTTACTGAACCTGGAGCTCACAGATTGGCTGGGCTGGCTGACCAGGAAGCCCCAAGAATCTTCCTGTCTGGGCTCCCTGGTGCTGGGATGGCAGGCATGTGCCAAGGCACCAGTTTTTCACATGAGTGTTGAGCTGTGAACTCAGATCCTCAGGTTTGTAACAGCTCGCTCTTTATTGACTGAACCATCTCCCTATTTCCCATTCCCTCCCTCCCTCCTTCCCTCCCTCTCTCCCTTTCTCCCTCCCTCTCTCCCTCCCTCCCTTCCTTCCTTCTCTCTCTCCCTCCTTTCTTTGTTTCTTCTTCCTCGTCCTCTCTCCCTCCTTCCCTCTCACCCCTTTCCTCCTTCTCTCCTCCCTCCCTTTCTCTCCTTTTGTGATGGAGTTTTACTCTATAGCTCAGGCTGGCCTGGAACTCAAGGCAATTTCCTGCTTTAGCCTCCCAGGTGTTGGGATTACAGATAAGAGCCACCACACCAGTCTCGGGATGGATTTTTCATTGAATGTCTTTTCACTTAGCAGCAGAGTTTTTGAGGACAAATTCCAATCATTAAGTGAAAACCTAGGTATATACTTGGTGTGTATTTCTGATCTCAGAGCAGCATATTAAATGAACTGACCTAAATAATAACTGCCTGAGTGGCTTCATGCATGCCAGGAATCCTATATATGTTTCGTCATTTCAGTCTCCCAATAGCCACAACCCCGAGCTACAGTAATGGGGTCGGCACTGTATATCCATTTTGCTGGAGAAGAAACTGAGGTACCACGAACTCTGATGCACTTCTAAGCCTTGATGAGCTGGCTAGCTTTCACAGAGGCTCCTTAACTGAGTCTCTTTCCTCATCCCCTTGGGGCCATCTAGAAAAAGGGCCTTTCTGCACTGACCTCCTGCCTACATTGCCTGACCTCTGACAATATAGCCTTTGGCTCTGCTTGGAAGATCCTCCCATCAGGCTTATTGGAGGAAGCCCTCTGAATTAGCCTACCAGGGGCCAAGTGGAGAGGAGATTGAGTTGTTTTGGACCAAACACCCAGCATGGCCTTTGTTCCCAGGTAAGTGCAGTGGATGAGTTGGCAGAAGACAGGGCTGCCACGGTGTGAAGCCATCTGCCTCCCCAGGTCTTGGTTTCCTCATGAAGTGGGGCTGTAATACCCACAATGCTCAGTTCATGCATGGATTCCAAGCAGCGTGGCAGTAAGTTTGGTGTCCATTAGAAAACAGTGAAAGTGCAGAGTCGAGTTTTCAGATGAATTATGGAGTTACAGGTTTGTTTTCAGATTTCAAGTCTCTGCCTCCCTGGCATTTGGCTGGCTCTGGAATGGGATTTAAGCACATTGTTAAGGACATAAAGCTGTTTGGTTCAGCAAGTAAGGCAAGGTGATTGTTCTGGAAAGAGTGGTGTTTTTTTTGCTCTGGCCTGCGGGTTTATGGTCATGCCTTTAGTCACTGGATCATAAAGAGCCACTTCCAGGAAAGGGTGCAACTTCTACTTAGGTGTTTGATTCTGATTTTAAAGGTTAACTTGGTGTGGTATCAACATTCTCTGCACTTTCTTCCTTTAGCCCTGTTTCCATATTATTCAAGGCAAGCAAGCATTAGAATTCATGACGCACCACAGAACACACTGTATATAAAACATCCTCATAACAATCTATTGTGTAAGTTTATTTGACTTAAGCCGTAATGGCAACTTGAAAAGAAACAGCTCATGGTAAAACGGTTCCATGTTGTTATGCCAAATGTTTATTTAACATGAAAATTTAAAAATCATTACACATGTGCATATCTGGGGGAGGGTTGAGACAAAGTCCCCTTGTAGCCTCAGCTGACTTGGAACTCACAATGTAGAAAAGGCTGGCCTTGATTTCACAGAGATCCACCTGCCTCTGCCTCCAGAGTGCTGGGATTAAAGGTGTGCGCCACTGTGCCTGGTCCGTGTACATATTCTAAGTGAGCTTGCCTGAGTCATATTCCTTAAGGGCCTATTTCAAGGAATAAACTCTGTATATGTCATGTGCTGATGTGTGCATGTATGCTTGCACCCATGTGTATGTGTGAGACAGATGTTGACATTGTATGTCTTCCTCAGTTGCTCTGCATCTTATCTTTTAAGACAGGGTCTCTCCCTGAACCTGGAACTCACTAATAAACTAGCCGTCCAGAGAGTCCCTTGGGGTCCTTCTGTCCCCGCCCCATCCCCATCATCACCAGTCTGGGGTTACAGGCAGACAGCACTGTTCCTAGCTTTTTCTTGGCTGCTGGGGAATCTGGATTCAGGTCCTCATGCTTGTGTGGCAAGCACTTTTTACCCACTGAGCCATCTCCCCAGCCCTCAGTAATACATTTTTTTAAGAAAATAAAACCAGTTCATTCATCGACATGAAACAAACACAATTCTCTGCAAACCCATACCTCGTGGAGGATCAGTTACATAGAGGTGGGCTTGGGAAGAGTTCAGCTCATTTATTCAAAAGTGGATCACAGGATCCCCTCTACCTCCCAGGCAGCATTCAGAGAAACTTCTCTCGACGTTAGCCCTACTGAAATGTCAGAACCACTGCGTGAAGATGTCTGTCCACATTCCAAGTGAGCCAAGGATACAAGGCCGGTCTCCCAGCCCTATTATCAAAGATTTAAAGACAGAGCTTAGTGGCACAGGATGATCAAACACAAATATGTAGTCCATTATGACCCAGGAAGAGTGTGGCTTGGAACCCAATGGCTACAAATTGCCTGTGTTAGTGACTGGTTTGTGCTTAGAATTCTCACCATCTGGGAGCAGTGGACTTCCTTGGAAAAAGGGCACTGACCCCAGAGTCACGGACTTTTCCTCTCATTTGCTGTGTGAGGATACAGAAGTAGTGAAACCTCTCTGTGGCTCACTTCTCTGTCTGTAAAACAAGGAAATTCAGGATGCTCTTCACAGGCTCTAGTCTAAGGCAGAGCAAACCATTTTTCTAGAAAGAACCAGGGAGGGAATTTGCAGGGCCTTGATGATCATGCACACAGTCTCTGTCTCAGCTCAGCTACTTGTGATGCTTAAGGAGTGGGACTGTCCCTCATGAGATTGCAAAAGCAGACAGCAAGCTGATCACCCATAGGAGACAGTCAACAGCCAACACCCCAGCCTCTAGAATACCAGGACCAGGGTGAGAGAGGCAGTCTGTGGGGAGACAAATTTGTCACCCAGGGAAAGTCAGAAACACTTAGAACACACTGAAGCCACACCCACAAGAAAGACACACTGGGGCTCCAGGGCCTGCTAGCTGCCTCACTTCACCTTGATTTTACTGGTTGTCTGGGCAGTGTGGAGGCAGCAGCCCAAGGGGCTCCTTAGGAAACATGAATGTGGGTGGGACTGAGAGATTGCTCAGTTAGTCAAGTGCAATCGTGAGGACCTGAGTTTAATCCCTATAACCCACATTAAAAAAAAAAATAGGTGTGAGCTGGGTGTGGTGGCACATGCCTTTGATCTCAGTACTTGGGAGGCAAAGGCAGGTGGATCTCTATGAGTATGAGGCCAGCCTGATCTACATGGGAAGTTCCAGGTCAGCCAGGCCCATGTGATAAGATCCTATATAAAGAAAATAAATAGTAAATAAAAATAACATTTTAAAAGCTGGGTTGATGGCACATTCTCGTAATCTCAGTACTGGGGAGGAGGAGACAGGAGGATCCCTGGGGCTTGCTAGTCAGCCAGTCTAGCCAAATGGTCGAGCCTCTGATTCGAATGAGAGAACTTGATTCATAAGCAAAGTGGAAGGCTCCTGAGCAACGACACCCAAGGTTGACATCTGGCCTCCACATACATACCAAACCCTCATACCCATGCACACAAGGTCCTGTTGTTATTCAATTGAAATTTCATGGGGCACTGTGTATTTTATCTGGCAACCCTACTCCCAACACACACACACACACACACACACACACACACACACACACACACACGAAAGTGCACCTGTGTCCACACACACATGAACATATACACCACACACAAGTGTGCCACAGGAGGGCTATGTACCTGTTCTGGGCCCCAGCCCTAGCTCCTGCCAGGTGTCCCGAACTTCTTCCACAGAGCTGAGGCACAAGTAGCCATCTGTCATGTCCCTTTGGCCAGAGCACATCTGCAGAACTACAGGCTCCAGAGCTGGCAGGGCCTCTGAGATCAGCTGGCTAAGGTCCTTGCTTTTTAAATAAAGTGATAGCTCAGGAGGGGCAGAGACCTGCCCACATCTACACCTTGCCCACCCTGCCCACACACCTCATGTTTTCACTCGGGATACCAAGGAACACCCCCACACACACCCTCAATTCCTGTGGAATGCAAGCTATGGGAACTCTGTGGGTCTAGACAGGATCAATGCTGACCGAAAGCACCCTGGTGAGTTGTGAAAAAAAAGTCACCCCTTCCTTGGTGAAATGGATTCCTACACAAATGCCTACAGCAAACAAGGCGGATCATAGCAATTCAGTCCCCATTTGACCCCAGAGTTGGGTGCCTTATACAGTGAGCAACTTACCCAACCTTACATGGAGGCCCTGGGCCCATGCCCAGTAGTGGGGATTTTTGTTAATGTTGGCAAACCACATATCATAGGCTGATCTGCAGCTCAGCTCCAGGCTGCCATTGCTCTATAAGAATACACTCCCAGTGCTATGGGAAGTCTGGATTTTCATGTGAATCCTTCGTTTTTGAAGGTTGGCAAGGAGTTTTTTTGTTTTTTGTTTTTTTTTTTCCCCCTTAACACTATGCTGGCCAATCCTATGCAGACCACAGACCACACGGGACAAATCTGTGGTCTGACAGATTTTACCATCTGACTTACTCCAAATCCCTCCACCCCCTAACTACAGATGTGAGATGACAGGGTAGTGATGTGTTCAAGATGACCCTTGGAGCCAGTGACAGCCTGTCCCTGCAGCCTTCCCTGGTGCCTGTGACCCACACAGAGCCTGCATTTCACAAGTCAGCATGGATTGCACACACACCTCCCGCCTGGCCCTGGCCCCAGCTGATATTTTTACCAAATGTCACAGCAGTTTGCAGGAAGGCCCAGGGTCTGGCTTGAGCCAGTGAATTACGATTGCTTGCCAGAGAGCTGTAAACACAATTCTGATTAATGAATTTCTTAATGGCCAGGCCTTGGGTGTAGACCTTGCCTGACTGTCACCCCCCACAGATAGGAGAGGAGCAGTTGGCCCAGTGGTGGGAAGATTTGTGTCATGTCTGTGCCTCGGAGAGGGTGCTCCAAAGCCTGCTGGCTCCAGAAGCTGAATAATCAGGCCTCCCTGGCTATAGATCCCGCCGGCTCTGTCCATGCACGCCAGCCGCCATGTGCCTGAGACCGGGGACAGACTTGATTGATCTTCGGGTGGAAATAGCATTGGCTAGCCTCCACTGCCATCTCAAAGAACTTGAAAATGCCCTTATCTGAATCCAAACAGAGAGAGGGGAGCCTTCCTCCTTGAGGCCTGAGCCAAAGCAGAAAGCCCTAGAGTCCTAAGTTGGAGATATAAGTCTTGGGCAGCAGGAGCCAAGTTCTAACTTGTCCAGACTCCCCAAGGTTTGGGGGAGCTTAGGAACATGGGAAAATCAGCAGTCAGGGAGTGATCTCTCTAGCCTCTCTGTGTGACTTCAGCCCAGCCTCCTGGACCACTCTGGACTTTGCATCTTCCAGAACATAAATTGAAAGGCCTAAAGGACATTGTTCATGCTGGGATATTGCAGTGGCAGAGGTGAGGTCTGAGATAAGGCCAGAGCTGGGGTGGTTAAATGGCACGTGTCTCCTGCTCCCTGTTCCTGAATTGGGGTTCGCCCCAGTGATCCTGGCTGTCCTTGCCCTGAGCAGGGACTCACTGGCACAGCTTTCTGAAATGTAGCCCCACTCCCCAACTCCAGGGCAGCCAACTCTGGTCAATCACAATCAGCCAGTGTGTGGAGATCAATGTGCTATCTGCACAGTGGAGAGTGTGTGTCTTTTTCCCTTTAGTCTGAGTAGCAGCTTGTATGGTGGAAAGTACTGAACTGGGGATATGGAAACTGTGGTTAGGTGACCAAAGGCCCTCCTTCCTGATGTCTGATCTGCTCAGGACTCATGGGCCAGTATAAGTAGAGCTGTTAATTACAGCAGCAGTGGACACTTAGGTGGCAGGCACTTTACACAGTGCATTTACACATCCTCTTACTTGACCATAGCCCCTGACAATCAAGGACCTACACTGCCCATTTTACAGAGGAAGAAACTGAGATTCAGACATGTGATGTAAAAAGTGTTCTCAACTCAGTTTCTAAACTGAAGGCCAAGCCTGGTTATCTAGTGAGAGATTACACATTATTGGGAGATTACCCTTCCAATATCCTTCCTGCAAATGGTGGGCTCGTCCAAACTCTCCTGCCACCTGAGCCCACTGTGACTCCTGGCATGACAGAGAGGCTGTTATGCAAGCTTTGCAGCCTAGACTTCAAAAGGGTTTCTAGTCCTTTGAAATGCTGCCCCAGGGCTGCCCATCCCTGATATGAGGACCCTTAGAAGAGACCACAGGCACTCAGTGGACAGCCAGTGGTAGGCCTTTGGTGGGCATTTTGTTCTAGAGGAATCTGAGTGGGAGACCTCGGATGAACAGCACTGTGTGGCCAACTGACAAAACTGTAAAGAGCAAGCTCCTTAGGTTTTAGGGTTGCTTGTTAAGCAGCAGTGCTAACTGATATACAGTATCTTGCCAGAGCCATGCTTTGAATATTACTGTGTATTTCACAAGTGGATCAAAGAGGAGAGGGAATAGGGCTGTCTCTGGCGCCAGACTTCCAGTCCTACCCTTTACTACATGTGTCATGTTAGACAAGTTACTTTGCCTGTGTGTACCCCAGGGGATGATGATCATAGAATGTCTACATCATTAGCCTGTTGTGAGGCTTAAGTTAGTTAGCAGCCTCTGTAGGTAGGTGCTAATCATTCCATTTTCCTCAGGTGTAGAAACCAAAACCCAGAGAAAGAATGGAGTTGGCCTTCTGATTCTTGGTCCAGGACATTCGAGGAGACCTAAGGTAATCTGCAGACAGCCAGCAGCAGACCTTTGGTGGGCAGTCTATCTGGAGGCATGCAGCTGTGTGGGAGCCCCATAAGTTAAGAATGGGCTTAAGAAGAACCTTTGAGCCTGCTGGTCCATTTCACTACCTGTTATGACGAAAACTCCACTGAAACCTGGCCACCAACTTCAACAACTAACCCCAACTCTGAGAGACTCACAGGAAGGAAGGGCCAGAGTCCCACAGGAGCACAGAGCCCTTCTCCTCCTAGGCAGGCTCATTCCACCTCTCTCTCTTCAGTCCTTTACCTCTGCTTAACCATAGGCCTCCTCCCGTAAGGACCATTGTCTTAGTTGATTCTCCTATTGTTGTAATAAAATACCCTGACAAAAGCAACCTAAGGATTTATTTCAGCTCACAGTTCAAAGGTAGAGTCCATTCATGGTGTGGAAGTCACAGCAGCAGGAGCCTGAGACATCTGGTCACATTGCATCTGCAGTCAAGCAGAGACCAAGGCAGGATGCTGCTTAGCTCCTCCTTCTCTACTTAAACAGTCCAGCATCCCCAGCCTAGAGAATGGTCCTGCCCACAGTGGGCAGGTCTTCCCACCTCCATTAGTATTCAAGATTGGGAGGATCTTCCCACTTCAGTTAGTATTCAAGAAATCCCCACAAGCATGCCCAGAGGCCCATCTCCAGGTGATTCTGTCAAGTTGACAACACTAATCATCACAATAACCTTCCCTCTTTTCTGTGTCCTGAGACCACACAGGGCAACAGACCTACTGGATCTGGGCTATGTATCAGGTACAATATATGCATAGTCCTCTTTAATTGATATAGCAACCCTGGAAGGCACACATTGTCATGGTGGAGCTGGGAGTGAAGAGACCAGGGTCCCAAGAGGCTGTCACCTGCCCAACGAGATCAGGGCTGGGATTTGAACCCAGATCCTCTGACTTCAGAGCCTTGGCTGTTTCCACCACACCACCTAGCATCTCCCAGAGGAAGCAGAGAGCCCAGTATGGAAACTCAGGGTGGAAAAACTGCAGTAATGAAAGGAGCAAGCAAGCCAAGGCCTGGTCCCTGGGGGGCTGCTTCCTCATCAGCTGGAGCCCCAGGAGGAGCTGGAGAAAGATTCTCCCAGCATCCTCCGCAGCTAATTACCGGCTTCACTTTTTCCTCTCCTTCTTTGAATGTTTCCAATGCCCTCACCAAGGGCTAGGGACCCAGCCCACAGCACGGCTTCATCTGTTCTTACCTAATATGCATGAAGCCTTGGGTTCAATCCTCAATACCATATAAACCTGGAGTGGTGGCACATGCTTATAGTTCTAGCACTTGGGAGGTAGAGGCAGGAGGATTAAAAGTTTAAAATCATTCTTGGCTACATAGCAAGTTGGAGGCCAATTGAAGCAAAATGAGACTAAATGTCAAAGAGGAGAGAGAGAGAGAGAGAGAGAGAGAGAGAGAGAGAGAGAGAAATACAGAAGGAACCCCACTGTTTGTCTAATGTAGGACCCCCTTTTTAAACACTGCATGGCTAGTAAGTATTTGGGCCTGATTTGGAACCACCTCTGTTGGAGTGAGCCCAGAGTCTGTGTCCCTCCATTCATCACTTGAGAGCATTCTCTGACACTTGCTGGAAGCCAGGACCATCCCTCTTCCACCTAGGTGAGGACTTGTCAGACCCAGGTGAGCTCATGGGTAGAAAGGTGCTAACGAATGCATGGCACCTCTCCTCCCCAGGTCTGTGTGGTGCCGCCCTGCAGTGGTCCTCTTGGGATGGACAGCAATAAAGAAGGTGCTGGTGAGGGACCCTTCCTTCCATCCTCCTTAACGTTAGATATGAGATGAGGAGGAGGAACAGGAGACCCAGGGACTTGGTCCCGGTTGGCCTCAATCTGCATCCCCCAGGCCCCAGATCCCGCAGCTCTGAGCTGCACCCTGCCTTCTCTGGGTCTGCAGGATCACTGGTGCTGCTCAGAGAAGCCCCACCCAGGCAGAATCAGAGCAGAACCAGGCCAGGACCAGGGCAGTGCCAGGAGGAAGCCCTGAGCCAATGCCAATACTCAGTCAAGATGGGAGGTTATTTTTAGAGGCAGCCTGATGGGGTAGCGTCTGTCCTGTTGCATGTTAGCTGGGAGATGCCCTTGGGAGGAGGTAAGGAGCTTTGTAATTCAAGGATTAGACTCTCTCAGCCTCCTCTGAGCCTGGGCTGCCTCCAGGGAGCCAACCTGCAAGTAGTCCCTTGGTCTCAATGTTGTGCGCAGGGAAGCAGGCTAAAGTAAGAAAGTCACTCAGTGTGTTGCCCAGCCTGTCTGGGACAGGTGCCTGCCTCATTCACATCCTCTCATATAATCCTCCCAGCAACCTGGAGAGGTGGTCATTCCCCTTTCCTATTTACAGAGAAGAAAACTAACCCTCAGAGAGGGTCAGTAACTTGCTCAGGGTCACACAGCTTGTAAATGACAATGCTAGAACTTTAACCCAGGCCTACTGGATGTCAAATCTTGTCCTCCTTCTATTCTGTGCTGATTCATGGAAACGTGTCCTCCTCTGCTGCTTAGATAAGATTCTAGGCTGACCACATCATCTCCCCACTCCTGTGATATGCAGGTCTGACCGTCCCTGAGTTTTGCAGACTTCTGGATGAGTCAGTCCTGGCTTCCAGCTACCACTATGAACAAGAGCATTTATTAAGTACCTATTGTAAATCAGGCCTTAGGCTATGTTCATATCTACAACCAACCCATAAAGCTGTGGAAAGGACAGACACACACACTGGGGGCCTCTGGTATGCTCTGTGCTCTATGCCCCAGGCTGCACCTCTCTTCTTCCGTTCACTGAGTCATCAGGGTCTCTCTGAGGGGTCAATTCTTGTGACCCCATTTTGCAGGTAAGGATAATAAAAGCTGGGGAGAGCTGGGAAAGCATTTGGGATGGGGCCCCTATCCATTTTGTGTGGCTGCTTAAACTTCCCTTCCTATCTTCCTCCTTTCCCCAGTGTATTTGAGTCAAATCCTCCTGGCTTCAGGTATGCTGAGGGCCTGAGGGGCCTCAAGACTCCCTCAGACCAAACACCCTTAACCCCCTGTCTTACAGGTCAGGGCCCCAGAGTCCTTTAACTCTATTGTTTGCAAATGAAAGAAGACAGAAATTTCTGCCAATTGCACATTGACAAGGACAAGATAAGAGCCGCCTCCTCCTGGTGCCCTGTCTGCCAGGCTCTACACAGAGACTCTCCACCCTGAACAGAGCCCAAAACCCAGTCCCAGGATGGGGAGTGTTCTCTTGGCAATTGTGTATCTCTCCAGGAGCCAGAGGTCCTTGGCAGAGTCAAGCCCTGGGCAGAGTTCAAGTCCAGGGAGGGGTTAAGAAACTCAAGCAATGAAAGGGAAATGCATTTTGGAAAGTCCAGAAATCCAGCCTTCCATCAGAGGTCAAAAGTCATGAGGAATCTGGGACAGAGAGCAGGAAGGACTTCTGGAGAGCCCAGAGCCCAGGGGCCTGTCACTCTAACCACCTGTGCTACACTGACTGAGGTTAGGGTTCTCCCCATCGCCAGGGTCCATTCCCAGGTTCCCTTGAGGGAACCAAGAGGTCCCTCAAGTATCCTGTTAGCTCTGTAAAGCAGTAGACAAGGGTCAGAACTCCTTTGGATGTCAAAGAGGCCCTTGTGACAAGGCAGTACACACTGGCACCAGTAGGAAGATGGGCAGGGGGTCTGCAGCATGCAGAAGTGGGCTGGATACCACACATAGTCAGACACCATGCAGTGTGACCCCTTTCACCTACTGTGTCGCATCTTCCCACCCCCAGTGCAGCAGGATGGGTAGATGGTTTCCAGAGAGACATAGCTTCTCTCTCTCTCTCTCTCTCTCTCTCTCTCTCTCTCTCTCTCTCTCTCTCTCTCATATATAATCAAAGGCAAATTTTGCAATAGGAAAAGATTACAGAAGAAGAAAATGCATTAACGGAGATGGACTCACAATAGTGATTTTTCTCTATAGTCATTCCAATAATTAAAATGTCTCATAACCCAACTTTTATTTTTCAATCACAGGCTAAAAAGAACAGAACAACATGTTTCCTGCATGGAGGGTACATTACGTCATCATCTACTCTGATTACATCATCCCCAAAGGCAATCCAGTAATAGGTCCCATACTCCCCAGTTAATCAGGCCCTGCCATTTCCAATTCAAGTCATGGAAATGTGCATGTGGGGACAAGGTGCTGTGCCTGTGCTTACTGACCTGTCTTTACAGGTGGGGAAGCAGGTCACAGATATAAACTCACCAGGAGGTCACTGAGCTTGGAAGGACTGAGCAGTTTTAAAAACAGCCTAGACAATAGCAGGGCTCTTTCTACTCCACTCCCCAGGACAAGGAACGGCCTCGGAATGGCCTCGGTGACTGATGCCCACTGACAGCCTGGGATGAGGGCAGCCCCCGCAGGGCTCCAGACCAGGCTCGCAGGGCCCCAGGAGCCTCCCCAGCAGGCATCCAAGCAAAGATGATCCCTCTCCAACTGGGCTGGCTGTCCCTCTGCCCTCAGGGAGCCCTGATTGAGCTGGGCACTTTCAGAGCAATGAAGGATGAAAATGAGAAAGGAGGGGGTGAGCCGCAGACAGGGAGGAGGGGCCTCTTCCCCAGAGGGGAGACAGCACCTATTTAGGCCAGACTCTGGCAGGCTCTACCCAGCTACTCCCTCTTAGCACTTTAATCAAATGCCTTGTGGATGGGTTCGCCCGATGTCAAAAATCCAATCGGATACATTTATTGGCCTGACAACCAATTTTCTGCGATGTATCATCAGGAACTGATGGTCCATTTCCCAGCGGCAGAGGAGTTGGCAATAATGGAGCTGGGAGGGCTACTGTGTGCCCTCAATATTGTTTCAGGCTGTCAGGGTGTGGGGGAGGAAAGGAGGCTGAACCCACAGGAGCAAAGAGACAGATGGGCAGATAGATCGAGCTGGCTTTGAACCTTGTATCCCTCCACACAGGCAGGTCCTTCGCAGCCCATGTGATCTGGGATACCACCCCTTCCTCGCCTGGATCTCTCCCTCCCCAGGATCCTCATTAACCAGTCCAAAAAGAATGGGAGAGCACTTCCGATGTGATATAAGGCCTACGCAGACTCAAGCAGTACAGCTTACCTCCCTCCATGTGCAGGGAATGGAGCTGGACAGCCATTAGGATGTGATTTCCATCTTCAGGGAGACCGGGGAGACCAAATTGAGACGTCAGAAGTAACCATAGATTCTGTCCCCTTTTAAGTTTTTCCAGCTGGTACTGAGGAGCCCTCAGGGTCTCCAGGAGCACCCTACCCCAGACTGCCAAAAAGCTAGGACCAACCCCTTAGCCTCCACTTCATCCCTAGCGGCTCGGCTTTCATAGTCTTTGTTTCTTATTTGTTGGGCTTCTGTATGAGATCACCTTTAAATAAAGTACTGTACTCATTTTTTACCACACACACACACACACACACACACACACACACACATGGGCAAGTAAGAGGACAGTTTGTGGGACTCAGTTCTCTCCTTCCACCATGTGTGTTCCAAGGAATCAGGCTTGGCAGCAAGTGTCTTTACCAGCTGAGTCATCTCACCAGCCTGAATGTACCCTTTTTAAAAGAAAAGTTTGAGGGCTGGTGTATGTCTCAGTGGATAAAAGCACCTGCCACCAGGCCAGATGACCTGAATTTAGTTCCTGGGATCCACATGGTGGAAGAGGAGAGCCAACTCCTGCAAGTTGTCCTCTGACCTTCACTGGCACACAATGGCATGCACATGCCCATACATATACACACAAACAGAACTGTATACACACAAACAAATAAATAAATGTAATAAAAGAAATGTTTTAAAAAGAAAGAAAAGTTTGACAGCACTTTTGATGTATGCCGTCCTTGAATTTTACTAACAGAGAGACCGAGGCCTGGACAGTGAAGAGACGCCAAGGCAGCCTGTGAGGGCTATTCAGGGGCGTGACGTATGTGGGAAGCCTTAAAGGATAAGCTAGGGATCTGCCTTAGTGGGAGGCAAGGGGAGGAGGCAGGAAGGGCCTCACTGCACTCGCACATGCCTGTCCCCACTTTACTCCCGGAGGCTCCTGTGCCCCTTTCCCTGTGCCTTACCCGCTTGTTTTTCTCTTCCTTGGACAATTAGGAGGACATCACCTCCCCAACAGTGCTTCCCAACTAGAACAAACAGGTCCGGCACCCTTCTCTGGTAACAGATGATTTCTCTGGCAATGGAGCTGGCTTTTCCATCATATTGCTGGGCCCTATGGCTGAGGTTGGCGGTAACAACACTACTTAGCCAAAGACCTCCAAGAGTACATCTGTGTCTGAAATAAGGTGGGATTACCTGTTACATGAGAAAGCATATGCACAGTGGGGAATAATGGGGTGCCTCAGGGAGAGGCAGGAGGACTTGTGTCACATGGGAATGGGGGGGTGGGGGATTCCAGGAAGCTGAGCTTTCTATGGAGTGAAGCAGGGGGTCAGTCTGCATGGGGGTGGTCATGAACTTCAAGAGGGAAGATTTAGCAAGTCTGGGGTTGTGACCTGTAAGGAAGTCATAGACTCTGATATCAGCCAGGATCCAGACTGTGTGGCGGTTTCTATGGTTGGAGCAATATCATTGTTTTTTTGGTTTTTTTTTTTTTGTCTGAGCTCAGACACAATTACCAAGTGGTCTTGTCTGCCTCTTGCTCATGGCCGTGTCTGACATTTCTGTTCTGAGACATTGCTTATTTTTGGCAGGAGATGTTATAGCAGGGCTAAAGGTATTGGCCAGCTCCAATTGTCCAAGCCGTCTGTGTCCTCCAGGACAGGGGCTGAGCCTGGAATGGAACAGCCTCTAGCAACTGTGGCCTAGCTTGCCCAAGACATAGCAGAGTGCAGGGCAGGCTTAAAGAATCAACGCAGGTGAAACCATGGCATTGAGGGTGTAGCCTGAGGTCAGGGGCAGGCCTGGCATTCCAACTAATCACTTGAGATAATGGAATGACTATGCTCTACAAGGTAAAAGTGCAGGCTGGGGTGAAGGATTTGCCTTATCCTCCCTGGATGTTGGTCTGGAGGTGCAAAAGCTGTTTGAAAGCTCTCAGCCTCAAGAGATATAAAGAAAGATTGAACTCAGAACTCAGCAGAAGTCCATCCCGGGTGGGTGGGCCAGGATTGCTATTTATCCTGAGGATGCCCCTGACCTTTCCCCAACAGGGACAGACACGTGGAGCCTGGCTGCATCCTTCCCCTTTAAAACAAGAAATGGAAGCATTACTCACCAAGCCTGGCCATTTATCATGGTCTGGGGACATTAATTTGACAGTGTGTCATTTTCCATTTGGTTTGGGCCCGGTGGAGGCTGCCCTCGAAACACCTTCAATTAAATGCAGCTAATAACACAGAGCTATTTTGAGCAAGGAGGGCCCCTGCCTCCCCCCAGGGCTGCAGTGTGCATGTGCTGGGGGAAGGGGTGCTGCTGGGAAGCACGGCTCAGGGACAGAACATTCCTGGGCTCCAGCTGCAGGCACAAGTGCAGACAGGATGGGAAGAATGGCAGAATGCCACCTCATCTCTATGAGAGGAAGCTTCCAGCAACCAGCCAGGCTGCACTGTTGCCCTAGCCATGGATGGTGGCAGATATGCCCCTTGCCCAGCATGGACAGAACATGGGTTTCAGAGCCCTACATACTTGGAAGTGGATCTCAGATGCCCTGCCTCCTGCAGGGTGACCCTAAGCATAACCTCTCAGTTTCTTCATCTGTGAAATGGAAAGCAGAATTCTTTCATGGAGCAGTTTGATAGTCCATATCATTTTTAAAGGATTTATTTGTTTCTATTTTATGTGTATGAATGTTTTGCCTGCATGTATGTAAGTGCACCCACGCATGCCTTGCCCATAGAGGCCAGGAGAGGCATTGGATCACCTGGAACTGGACATACGAATGATGTTAGCCATTATATGGGTGCTGGGAACTGAACCGGGGTCTTCTACAAGAGCAGTCAGTGCTCTTAGCCACTGAGTCATCTCTCCAGCCCTGATAGTTCATATTATTTTATAAGCACACACAAAATAACATATACCAGAGACTTGCTATTCATTGGGGGTAACTCCTAATAACCTTACCTATATTCTGAATTCAAAACATGACAAAAGCCCACTAAATCCCTAACACCCATGACTCCTCCTTCAGTGGGACTCAGGAAGTGGGGGACGTGGTAGTGCAGGCCTATAATCCCAACACCTGGGAGGTGGGAGCAGGATGAGAAGTTCAAGGTCATCCTCAGCTGCATAATGAGTTTGAGGCCTGCCTAGGGTACATGAGACCCTGTCTCAACCAGTCAGTAAATGATTACAAGCTGGGACAAGTGACACAAATCTGTAATCTCAGCTGCTAAGGAGGTTAAAGCAAAAGGATTGTAAATTCAAGGCCTGCCTGGACTACAGAGAGAGATCAGAGCTGGATTGGACAATTTACTGAAATCCTGCAACAAAATAAAAACTAAAAAAGATCTGGGGATGTATAGCTCAGTGGAGAGCACCTCCCACCATGAGGCCATAGGTTCAATCCCAAACAATGGTGAGCGGAAAAAAGGATCAAGTATTAGCAACTTCACATGTTCACTCTGACACTTTCTGTTAGACTGAAGAAGACCTGGGGACTCTGCCTGATATGCTCAAGACTCAAGGGCCAATGGGGGACCCTGATGGCTCTAGGCAGGTGGCATCTGAGCCTGTTCCTTCAGCTTGCAAAGCACAAAGTTCTGTGAGAAGCCCTGGGCTCTGGAAGCCAAGAATAATGCAGGAGCTCTGCTCTACATGTCCACCCCCAACTCAAACCTGTTGGTACCAGAGACTATCATTAAACCCAGTTAGGTGTCTAGAAAGACCCAGTAAGAATCAAAGCAAGGCTTTTTATGGGGGGGGACACCCTGAGATCTCAAGAGTATTTGGGGCTCTTGGAGATGCTGAGCCCTACACTCTGAGTGTGAATGCCCAGCCCACCTCAAAGGCATCCACTTTCTTCTCAGGAAAGACTTCTATAAGCTGCAGGCACCAGGAGTCACAATTCACAACACATTCAGTAGCCACCGCTTCCTGCTAAGTATTGTATTGATTCCTCCAGAGCACTGTGCTGGGAGCAAACCCATAGCCCACCTTGTACCACCACTGAGATGCTGTTTGTCACAAACAAGATGCTGACAAACAAACACCAGTCATGATCCTGCCCTGCCTGACTCTGAGAGAGGTTCCCTGGGTTCTTTCAGATCCTCCACTGGCTTGCTCTGCAGCCCAGGACTGGCTCTTTTCTCTTTCTGGGCCCTGATTTCCACATCTGAAAAATGAGGCCCTGTGAAGAAGGAAACTGGAATCAAGCCCTGTGGTCCAGGCCTATAATCCCAGGTACTCAGGAGTCTGTGGTAGGAGGGACATTCAAGGCCAGCCTGAGCGACTCATAAGACTCTATCTCAAAATAAAAAGTAAAAAGAGGACTGAGGATATCACTAAGTGGCACAGCACTTGCCTAGCACATGCAAGGCCAAAGTTCACTCCCCAGGACTGGGGCTGGAGGGTGAGGGGGTGGGGAGAGCCAGTCAGAGTGGCACAGGCTTATAGTCTCAGCTATTCAAACTGTTCTTGAAGCAAGATGATCGCAAGTTCCAGGCCAGTCTGGGCTACATGGCAAGACCCTGCCCCAATGTAAAAAGACAAAAGAAGAGGGAGGGAATGGGGAAGGGGGAAAGGAGGGCAGGGGCAAGAGAAAGGGGAGGCAAAAGGGGAGGACAGGAACCACGTTCTTGTCCTCCCTCAGGATTTTTTTAAATTGATTGAGACAAGCATGTGGACATTTCTCAGCAAGAATGAACACCTTTGTCAGTCTCCCCAGATTCTCCAATGTGTGGTGCCAGGGTAAACCACAGGAGATCTGAATTTTAAACAAGACACCACACACAGCCACCCAAAACCAGGCCAGGCAGTTTCTCAACAGCCTATTTCTTTCTCTTGCCCACAGGTATGAGAACTTCTGGAAGGCAGTCTGGCAGAATTTCTCAGGGTTTTACAAACGTTCATATCCTTTGGAATCCATCCTAAGGCAATAGCGCAAAGTGCAGTAAGAGCCACGAGCACACAGGCACTCATTATGTAAAAAACTAAAGCCACAGAAATGCCCAGAAATAAGGGATTGACTGATTAAGTAAAGCCTCATATGTCTTCTTGATAGGATATAAAATATTATATAGCAATAAAAAAGTTTATAAAACTCACAGTTACATTGAAAAATATTTAATAGCATGCTGGGAAAAAAAATCAGGGCTCCAATCTGATTAAACACGGTGGATTAAACACACTGTGGCCTTCTCCCCCAGCAACATTTTATTAAAGCAACACGAAAGGAGGGAGATTAGTAAAATCTAAAGTCCAAAGTGGTTTGTGATATGGAGGGATAAGAGGCTTCAGCAACTACCTGG